TACATAAGGTGTTTATTCTTGAAGCAGCTTTGGGGAATGCCCTTTCACAACCTCTTCAGCCTCTAAAAACTAGACAAAACCATGCCCTATTCCTGCACCATTTCCAGAAAGTCCACAAGAACGCAACCCATTCTCACACATCCTTTGCAGCCTCCAAAAATTTCACGAGAACAGGGCGTGCTTTCGAAAATACAGATAGTGTTCGACTTACGAACACAATTGAGCCCATAATTTCTGTTGTTAAGTAAGACATTTGTTTAGTGAGTTTTGCCTCATTTTACAACTTTTCTTGCCACAATTGTTAAGTGAATCACTGCAGTTATTTAAGTTAGTAAACTGGTTGTTAAGCGAATTTGGCTTCCACATTGCCTTGGCTTGTCAGATGGTCACAAAAGTGAGCATCTGATCCTGCAACACTGCAGCCGTCATAAATATGAGTCAGTTGCCAAGCATCTGAATTTTGGTCATGTGACTATGGAAATGCTGCAACAGTTGTCAGGAAAATGATCACAATTCACTTTCTTCAGTGCTGTTGTAACTTCAAACTGTCACTAAATGAATTGTTGTAAGTCGAAGACTACCTGTAATTGTTTTCAGATTTTGGTGAATGCTGGCATGTCATCCAAAATGTCATGGCATGTCACCTTTGACACAGGCATCATAGATTCGCCATCACTGTCCTAGGTATCTCCTGGAGCAAGTGGGCTGGGATCTGTAGTCCCTCCTTGTGACAATTTGTATTGTCAAACCCACCACACTAACCATCACTGGTTAGTGATGGTTAGTGTGAGCCGAGGTGGCGCAGCAGTTAGAGTGCAGTACTGCAGGCCACTTTAGCTGACTGTGTTCAGCAGGTCAGCGGTTCAAATCTCACCGGCTCAAGGTTGACTCAGCCTTCCATCCTTCCGGGGTAGGTAAAATGAGGACCCAGATTGTTGGGGGCAATGTAAATATATATATATACATTGCTTACTGGTGTACACCGCTTAGAGAGTGCTTGCACTTAAAGCGGTATATAAGTCTCATAAATAAATAAGTCTCATAAATAAATCACTGAGATCTGATAAGCTACGTACAGGTAGTCCTTGAGTTATGACCACAATTGTACCACAAATTTATTTTTCTAAATAACTAATAACTGTGGCAAGAAAAGTCCTAAAATGGGGCCCCATTTTAGGACTTTTCTTGCCACAGTTATTAAGTGAATCATTGCATTTGTTAAATTAGTAACATGGTTGTTAAGTGAATCTGGATTCCCCATTTCCTTTGCTTGTCAGGAAGTGGCAAAAGGTGATCACCTGACTCCGGGAGACTGCAAGCATCTGAATTTTGGTCACATGGTCCATGGGGATACTGCAACAGTTGTCAGGAAAATGGTCACAATTCACTTTTTTTAGTGCCATTGCAATTTCAAACGTCACTAAATGAACTGTTGTAAATCAAGGACTACCTATATGTTCTTGTCTGGCAGGCATTTATTTTAAATCCCCCCAAATATTTCTAATATTATTCTGGTCCTTCTAGTTCAGTTAGAGGGTAATGAATATATCAGTTATGATTTGGCCTACTTTCTCATTTCTCCAAGGCAAACCAAGGTTTGCATCATTTTGGTCTTCTAAAATCCTGAAAAAAATAATATGAATTTCTGTAAAAGTATACTTTATGTATGCATTTTTCCTACCAATTTTCTCTGACATGTTTTTGAAAAATTTTCCCCATTTATGTGTAGGTTCTTTCTATGTGTGCTTTTTCAACCTGGCAAATTGCATTAACAAAATCAGAAAATATCGATTTCAAAGGCAACTATGTATCAGTTTACGCATTGAATCAAGATGTATATATTAAATAAAATAGCATTTAAAGATGAGCTGAATTAATTTTTCCACATTTGTGCTGTCCACACTGTATCGTTTACAAAGTAGATTGATGGTCTTTTCTTTCAAAATTAGCTTTCTAAGCATTTCTCCATATCTGGACTGCAAAAATCTGGGCAACTATTACATGGTAACAAAGATTTAACCATTTCGTGGTTGTCTGGATTTTGCAACATTAAATATGGTGGTCCTACTGTTTACAGAAAGCAAGTGTTCAATGAAGGCCAGTGTCCAAAATGGACGGGGCCACTCATCACCCCCCTTTTTTGTTTCTTGTCTTCTCTTATATGAGCCGTGGTGGTGTAATGGTTAGAATACAGTATTGCAGGCTAATTCTGCCTACTGCCAGGAGTTTGATCCTGACTGGCTCAAGGTTGACTCAGCCTTCCATTCTTCCAAGTTGGTAAAATGAGGACCCAGATTGTTGGGAGCAATATGCTGATTCTGTAAACCACTTGGAGAGGTAAAGCACTATGAGGCGGTATATAAGTCAAAGTGCTTGTAGCTCTCTTCTCTTCTCTTCTCTTCTCTTCTCTTCTCTTCTCTTCTCTTCTCTTCTCTTCTCTTCTCTTCCCTTCCCTTCCCTTCCCTCTTTCTCTTTCTCTTTCTCTTTCTCTTTCTTTCTTTTTCTGAGAGCTTCCTTTTTTCCCTGCTTCCTTCCCCCCCAGAAATTGCTTAGGAAGTTATTCATTTGCTGAAGTATTTTGAAATTAGGATGCTTCACGCTACCAAGTTAGGGTCACTGTAGCTTTTCATCAGGTTTTCTTTCTTTGCACCCAAATGCTAGTTTGGTGTAGAAGTTAAAGCTCCAAGCTAAAAACCAGAGACCATGAGTTCTAGTCCCATTTTAGGCACAAAGCCAGCTGGGTAACCTTTGGCCAGTCATGTTCCCTCAGTCCTAAAAAGGAGACAAGGACAAACCACTTCCGGAAATCTTGTTAAAAAAATTGCAAGTAACCAGGAGCCAATGGTCACTCAAACGGAGACATGCACACACAAAAGCTGGAAATGCCAGAAATGGAAAGTCTAACTGCTTGTATGTAAGGAATGTATTTTGCCACTGATCCACAACCTTGCTGCAATTTTATCAGCTCTTCCTGGGAATAGGGTTTTTTTCAATCAGAAAAGTGGCATATATATGAGGGGGGAAAACATTTACCTTCTTTAGCTCTAATGCCTTATTCCAAAATTTTGTTCTTTACTTTGGGAAAGAATGCTTTTTAATGTATAGAGTATATTTTACTTGTTGCCATAGGATCTAAATTGCAATCTGTCCATTATTCAATGCTGCAGATCATCTTCTAATACCAGACTTGATGTTCTACAAAGTAATTTATTCTGAAGGGAAATGCAAAATTCTTTTCTTTCTTCCCTCTGAAAAATAGAAATTATACCATTTACTTTATATTGCAGTATTACTTTATATTTCATCTTATGATCCTTTTGACAAATTGAATAGAAGGAACGTAAAAAGTATGCTTTCAGCAAGCTATTGAAACCAAACATTGGCTTCAACAGCAAACTCCACACCTCTGACCTCCATCTCCTAAAAGTGTCATCTAGTGTGTTGAGGAAAGAAGATTAAATCCTCGGGGTGGGAATGAAACCAAGGTTTAGTAATGAATGAAAGTCCAGGGATATGTTCTGTCTTGGGGAGAGAGAGAGACAGACAGATTCGATACCATTCGTCTTGATTTTATTGGTTCGGCTTTGATCTGCAATGTTGAAAACCGCTTAGAATAAGCATCAGTACATGTGCGTGCAACTAAGCAATAAAAATCGTACTCCAAAGCACCTTATTAAAACAGAGTGATAGAAAATATACGGGAAAGACGTGCAGAAACATAATAATCTAAATTTTGGAAAAATGGATTTTTTTCCTTGCATTGATATTCTCTCTATGAAGTTTACCCATATGAGAAAATAAATAAATAATAAAACAAATCATTGTTTTTCAGTTGATTTCTGTGTCCTAAAATGTAGGACAAGGAGAAAACAGTCGGGACTGAACACACTCAAAACTGTAGAGATGATTGTAGATTTTGGGAGAAGCCCTCCTATTCTACCACCTCTTACAACACAGTATCAACAGTAGAGATCTTCAAGTTTCTAGGTTGTATAATATCTCAGGACTTAAAATGGACACCTAACATCAAAAACATCATCAAAAAAGCACAACAAAGAATGTTCTTCCTGTACCAACTCAGAAAGCTCAGACTGCCGAAGGAGCTGCTGATACAGTTCTACAAAGGAATTATTGAGTCTGTCATTTGCACCTCTATAACTATCTGGTTTGACACAGCAACCAAACAACACAAACACAGACTTCATTGGATAGTTCAAACTGCAGAAAAAAATAATTGCAGCCAGCCTGCCTTCCATTGAGGACCTGTATACTACACGAGCCAGAAAGAGGGCTGTGAAAATACCTACAGACCCCTCACATCCTGGACATAAACTGTTTCAACTTCTTCCCTCAAGATGACACTATAGGGCATTGCATGCCAAAACAACTAGACACAAAGACAGTTCTCCCCCCACCCCACCCTGTCATCACTTTTTTAAGTAACTAATTCCCACAACAATTGTCTATGCCCTGGGATGTCAAACCACCTAGTAGGGCTGTATTACTTATTATCTCTCTCATCTATCTTATTACCTATGTCCTTAGATTCTTAGGACTATAACTTGTTGTTGTATCTCATGATTTATGTTGATTGCTTTTATTTAGTATCCTATTACTATTTATGTTGATTGCTTTAGTGTCCTATAATTATCACTGAGTGTTGTATCTATGATTTATGATGATTGTATTTTATGATTATGAATATCACTTGTTGCTTGTATGTACACTGAGAGCTTATGGACTGGAGACGAATTCCTTGTGTGTGTCCAATCACACTTGGCCAATAAAGTATTCTATTCTCTTCTGTTCTGTTTTTTCCTGGTTACAAATATCAGTGCAAATAAGCTGCAACAATTCTGCTTGAGATCCTCATTTATAGCTTCTTTGGGATAATACATAATTTATTATGGAAAGCTAGATCCTACATTTTCTACATCCTACATTCTACATCCTAGAAAATTTAGCTGGACTTTTAAAAAAAATCCCTTCTTCTCCTTCAGATGACACACATGACCGATACGGACAGGTCCTCAGATCCTACAGAAGAAGAGAGTTCTAAAGAGAATTGTCAGAGCCCAACTCTTGGAGGTGGTATTTTGAAGTACAAGACCCGATCTCAAGGTATTGTTATTTTTTTATATTGGATAAAGAAACATGGAAGAGTTGGAAGACTGTTGAGGTCAGGTTTACCAGCATACTGTTACCTCCTTGAGAAACAAATTATAGTTCAGAGGAAGAATAGAGTTATCAATGAGAAATACCTCTACTGGAGTTCTTAAAGGTTTCTGATACTTACAGTTAAATCATACCGAGCTACATAGGTGTATCATTTCGTTCCCAATAAAGAGCAACTTCTACTACTCTTATCTTTGAGGCTAGATTTTTAAAGTTAAAGTAGTGCTGGACCAAAAGACTTATATTATTTTCTTTGCTGAGCCATATTCCATCTCCTTTAGTTATTTGAGGTACTTATGGCCTCTGGATTTGTGACCTTTTAACAGTTAGAACATGTATCTCAAATCAGATTTTAATAAAATGGTAATAATTGAGAAGGGTCAAAGCCTTTAAAAAGATGAAACACAAAGATAATTACGGCAGCAGTGTAAAAAGAGCCATCTTGCTGCTCTTCTATGTGAGGACAGAGAAACCCATCAGTGTTGGCAGAACCCAAGGACTGTATCAGGTGAACCTCTTCAAAGCAGGTTCTCCACAATTTTAGGATTGCGATTAAGAAAGATTGTGATCTTCACACCATCCTCCAGTTGGCAGGGGGATTTAGAATTGGATTACTGCTGCTGATTGAAGTACACAGGATGAAAGGCATGAGAGAAAGTAATTCATAAAGTTTCTCACTGTCTATCCTTTGAGGGTTTTAAAAATATCAATCAATCAATCGGTTTATTACAGCCATAAGGCCAGACATAATCAAAATATAACAACAGTGACAATTTTACTTTCATATTTACATAATATAAAACCATCAAACAATCAATGTAATATAATCCGAAATTCTCAAAATAAAACATCATATTAAAATTTTTCAGACCTTGATAATGGTGCGATGTATTGTGCAAATGGTGGCACAAAATTGGGCAACCTGAATTGATATTTTTGGATCCTTATCCGAAAGTAGCAACTTTAGATAAAATTCATATCCCCTACCTGGAAACTTCTTCAATATCGGATATATAAAAATCTGTCTAGAGTCTTTATATAAAGAACAATGAAGCAGCATATGGCTTAGAGTTTCTGTAGAGCCATCACCACACAATTGAAGGTGCATAGGAATGCCCTTAAACTGATTTTAAAAATATGAACCTGCACTTGATTTGATTGTATGCATAAACTATTTTTTGCTTTTTTACCTGGAGCTCAGATACAGAATAAGAGTTCTGTCTTTTTTTAAGTCAGTAAAAAGTGCTGTTTATTTGTGATTAAATATGCATTTTGATTTTAAAAAAGTGTGTTCTGTCATTTCCTTAATAAATTACCCCTGCCCATATAGCCACATGCATGCATATGGGCACACACAAAGATAAAATTTATTATTGTTGTTTAGATGTTTTAAGAAATGCATCCACCCATCATTTCTCAATGGACATTCTAAATTCCATTAGAACTGACAATCTTAAAAGAGGCTTTGATGCGTGTATAATAAATTTTATCCCTGGGTTATTCTTTAGGGGCGGCAACTCGCTTAGAATCTGTGGGAGAAGATGATGAGTTGACAGTAGAAAATGGAGATGTGAATTATGAACTACCAATGAAATATTCCCGGGGAGGCAGAAAGCATTCCTTACCGCAGCATTTGGACACAGGAACCAGACAAGTGAGGAAGAGGGGGGGGGGGGAAATGGCATCATTTGAGCCAAATAATTCCTATTTTAACTATTGGTAATTGATGGAGGGAGCAAAGATTAAAACAAACTCAATCATGAACCAGAATGCAAATGCTGTACAGGTAGTCCTTGACTTACAGCCAACATTGGGAACACAACTGTTGCTAAGCAAGGTGGCTGTTAAGTAAGTCGCACCTGATTTTGCAATCTTTTATTTTTGCCATGGTTGTTAAGCGAATCGCTGCGGTTCTTAAGTGAATCGGGCAGTTATTAAGCGAATCCAGCTTTCCCCATTGATGTTATTGCTTGTTGGAAGCCAACTGGGAAAGCCTCAAATGGAGATCACATGACGCTTGGAGATTGCAGCCATTGTAAATACAGGGCAGTTGCCAAATGCCTGATTTTCAGTCCTGATCGTAAGTCATTTTCAAGTGCTGTTGTAACTTTGAATGGTTGCCAAATGAATGGTTCTAAGCTGAAGACTACTTGTAATTACAATTAAGGAGAATATTTGTAGCTCAGGGTTGCAAAGAGGGGTCCTTGATGCTCTCTGAGCTTGCTCGTAATTCATATGCCAGCAAAGGTTATTGTGGTGCCTTATTTGTATATAGTAGACTATTTATTTAATCTGAATAAAAATATACAATATATTGCAGAAAATTTTGGAAGATACTACCTTATGTTCTCTGGTACTTATCTTGATTTATTTTCTACCCTGTTTATACATACACACAAACATACATATATATCGTAAGCCCTAGCCCAAATATAAGCCCTAGTTTTGGGGCGAGGCACGCATTTAAAAATCAAGCTAGGGCGGGGGTGGGGCATGGATCTGCCCCATGCTCCCACACCCACTTACCCCGCAGCCAGGCCTCTTCTCGCCAGCTCACTTCTTCTGAGGTGTCTTCTGCAGCCAGGACTGCATTTCTCAGTCAGAGGCCTTTCCAGAAGGCCACTGCAGCCGAGAACCAAGCTGTGGATTCAATCCATAGCTCGGTACTCAGCTGCAGAGGCCTTCCAGAAAGGCCTGACTGCGAAATGCAGGCCAGAATGCAGCTGTAGAATTAAGCTGCTCCTTCAGCCGCAGTAGAAGTGGACCTGCTGGGTGGGGTTATCGGTGCCAGAGATGAGTATAATAGACATCCCCTGAAAATAAGACCTGGTACCTCTTTTGGAGGCAAAAAAAAAGACCCAGTCTTATTATATATGTGTGAGTGTGTGTGTGTACTGTATATATGTGTATATATGTATATATGTATGTGTACACATACACACACATTTAGGCACTTGCATGTAACCATGATCTAATGACTATTTACTAACCGGAAACCAAGATTAGACAGCCTATAATTGAAACAGAATCATTCTGAGTTTTTTTGCAATTATTGTGTTTGTTCTATTTCTGAAGGAATACCACATTGTTAAGAAATCCACTCGTTCGTTGAGTGCAGCTCAGGTTGAATATCCGTGGCGACTTACCCAGCCATCTATTATCTCCAACATTGTTCTGATGAAGGGGCAGGGCAAGGTAAGAATGAAATAAAAAAAGACTTTAATATTGTGTGTCTGTCTAGGAATCTAAGTCAAGAACTCTTCTGAGGACCCAAGTTGCAGAGGGCTGTTCTAAAATTTATTATAGCAAAAGAGATGCTATTCCAGAATTTGGAACCACTTAATACTGGTAGTTGGTGCAATGTAGGGGAAAAAGTGATATCCACAGTTCTTGAGAATATGGGGTCACTGATGGTAAAAGTTTTGGGGTCTGTATAAACACCGTATACTCCATTTAGGTTTGTTTAACACTGCAGAGTCCACTGTTTGTGATTAGAAATTAATCAATGATGAGAGCCACTTTAGTTAGTGGTTAAAGCATCAAGCTAGAAAGTAGGAGACTGTGAGTTCTAGACTGGTGGTTCTCAACCTGTGGGTCGGGACCCCATTTGGGGTCGAACGACCATTTCACGGGGGTCGCCAAACAAGGCTGTCCGCCATTTTTTTCCCCTTTTCTTTGGCCACGTCCCTGGCATTCGGTGATGTATAAGTGGTTGGGGGTCACCACAACATGGGGAACTGTATTATGGGGTCGCGGCATTGGAAAGGATGACAACCACTGCTCTAGACAATGGTGGGTTTCAAATATGTGAACAAATAGTTCATTGTGTGGCTGCCGCTTCTGGAAGTCCATTCTGGGCCTGGGCAACAAAAAATTAGCTACCGGTTCTGCCAAAGTGGCTGAATCTCACCATTGGTTCTAGACCCACCTTAGGTGCAAAACCAGCTGTTGACTTATTGGGAAGATTCTACTTGGGTTGCCTCTGAAGAAGAGTCAGGAAATTCGGTGCAGAACTTGATTGCCAGCATTTTAACAGATTCAGTGAGGTTTGCCCACATAATTCTAATTTTAATTGGACATTTGCCTATTCATTTCAGGTCTCTTTCTCTTGCAGTCTGCCCATATCTTAACATATTTTGCCAAAGCTATATTTCAGGCTCCCATTGAAAATGCAGCATGCAGATACTTCTGTTGGTTCTAAAACCTAGCATTGTGCTGAGATAGTATATTCTCCCTTCCTTTAAAAACTTTTTCTTTCTTACTGTTTAACAACAAAGATGAAGAAACCAGTTTAGTTAGTTCAGTTTACTTGATCAGATTCTTGTTGTTTGTGATTTGGGAAGTTATGGGATATTTGTCTATGGAGATTCTTATGAGGCATTTATTCCTCTCCTTTTACCCTAATTTGTACCTATGCTGCAGGGTCTTGGATTCAGCATTGTGGGGGGACAAGATTCTGCCCGGGGTCGTATGGGCATTTTTGTAAAGACAATTTTTCCAAATGGGGCTGCAGCAGCTGATGGCAGGTTAAAAGAAGGTACGCTTGCAAAAAAACAGATTTTGGTTAGCCTCACAACTTGTTTAAACTAACTACTTCCCAAGCCCATATTTACCTATCCTACCTGTTCCTCCTGCCAAACATGTAAGCTGGAGAACAAAAACTCATGACCAAGCTGAATACAGGTAGTCCTTGACTTACAACAGTTCATTTAATGACCATTCAAAGTCACAATGATGCTGAAAAAAGGGACTTTTGACCGTTTCTTTACACTTATAACATTGCAGCATCTCTGTAGTCACGTGATCGAAGTTCCGGTGCTTGGCAACTGGTTCATATTTATGACCGTTGCTATGTCCCAGTTTCACGTGATCCCCTTTTGCAACCTTCTGACGAGCAAAGTCAGATTCACTTAACAACTGTGGCAAGAAAGGTCGTAATATGGGGCAAAGCTCATTTAACAAATGTTTCACTTAGCAATGTAAATCAATTGTGGTCATAAGTTGAGGACTACCTGTAATTTGTTGACAGAACCAGGCTTTCCTTCTGTTCTTGGTCCGGAGCAAAAGAAGGAGAAGTGGTTAATATAATGTAAACTGCTCTCTTTGGAGCCATGGCTTTGTCCCTTCCAGATACTTCCTTCCAATATTTCAGATGTTTCAGAAGAGAGACATCTGAAATACTGCTGTTTTTACACAATATACACCAGATTTTTTTCTTGCTAATGTTGTGTAGGGGACAGTTCCTTCGATAGTTTGTGTAATGCGGTATAATGTAATTATCTTGTAACAAACCATATCCAAAAGCTATAGTTTGTGCTATACCACATTTGGTGACAAACATGTCTTCACCCAAGATCCAGGAAAGAGTGGAAACGATAATTCAGCCTCCCATTCCCACCCATAAGCCATTCTGCAGCCTGAAATTTGATGAGATTTCATGCAAAGAAGTTCAGCTTTTCTGCTTCTGGGCCATGTATTGTGGATTGTTCGTTCCTGCAAATTCTCATTTTGCTACCATTCATGGATAAGAATGACTCCTAAGCATTTTTCCTTGTTGGGCTTCCAAAATTCCAAATGCACAAGATAACTAAACTACAAAATGCTTCCAAATTTGTATAGTCTAATGAAACTTTCAGGGCAAAAATAACATGCCACTGTTTAAACTTAATTTATTCAAGCATAGAAAGAGATAACATATGTTGTAATATAATAGTATGGGAAGAACTGGAATGCCTTTTATTTCATCCCATCCAAATGGCGATAATGCATTTTGTTTTCGGTTTCCAGGAGACGAACTTCTAGAGGTTAATGGGGAATCATTACAAGGGCTGACGCATCAGGAGGCAATTCAAACATTCAAAGTAGGTAACAGAACTGCAGGGTTTTAGTAAGACTGCAAAACTTACAATATGCTTTTAATGCAAACTTATCTGCCACCTGGTCAGTATAGCATTCCCATATGTAACTTACCCATACTGATGTCCTTCAAAACTCTTCAAAGTTCAGAACCAGTCTAATCTTGTTGGCTGAGAAAAAAATAGAAGCTATAGTACCACACATCTGGATGGTATCCTGTTGGGGAAAGCTGTTGTATTCACTTCTATATGTACCCATTTATATTTGAATACAACTACTCAGGCCTTTTTTTCTCATAGAACACCCAGAACAGAGTTCCGGCACCTTTTTTGGATGGAACCTTGTAGGGTAGGCAAGGCAGGTTGTATGACATGTGTGAGTTCCGGCACCTTTTTTTTTTTTTTTTTTTTTTTTTTTTTAAAAAAAAAGCACTGCAACTATTTTCCCCAACTGGATACTATCCAGATGTGTTGTGTTCCAGCATCTTTTGGGAGTTGGTCTTCATGGGTCCTGCATAAAGCAATATCAATACAAGGGAAAATGATTTGCTTTGGCATCTACATTTTCTATAAGCATAATAGATATCTTGGGCAAGGTTAGTAAAGAAATATTTTATGTTCATAAGATAGTCCTCGACTTACAACAGTTCGTTTAGTGACTGTTCAAAGATACAGTGGCACTGAAAAAAATGACTTATGACTGTTTTTCACACTTAGGACTGTTGTGGTATCCCCATAGTCATGTGATCGAAATTCAGATCCTTGGCAACTGGTTCATATTTATGACGGTTGCTGTGTCCCAGGGTCACGTGATCACCTTTTGCGACCTTCTGACAAGCAGAGCCAATGGGGAAGCCAGATTCATTTCACAACCTTGTTACTAACTTAACAATTGCAGTGATTCACTTAACAACTGTGGCACAAAAGGTCGTAAGAAATGTTTCACTTAGCAACAAAAATTTTGGGCTCAGTTGTGGTCATAAGTCGAGGACTACCTATACACACGTAGACAACAGACCTTCTAGATCAAATTGTACAGAATGATCCACTGTACGGTGATCAATTCCCAACATAGTTTTTTTATTTTATTTTACTATTTACTTTTTTATTCAAGAGCAGATGTTCCACTTAATGATTCCAGACATGTTCCAAGTTCTAGATGTGTAATTCATGTCTTAGTTTTTGAGACAAAGGAAAAGTGGTGATACTATACACCTAACAACTCTGTTGCTTCTTTAGCAACTCAAGAAAGGTGTGGTGACTCTCACAGTACGAACCAGACTTCGCAGCCCAAGCCTTACACCCTGCCCAACTCCCACTTTACTCAGCCGGTCCAGTTCTCCCAGCTCCAGTGCCAGTGGAGCAGCCTCATTTCCCAGTGGAGAAGATGGAGATACTTCCTCTTCTAGTCGTAAAGGACCTGGACCAAAGGACAGAATCGTCATGGAAGTCACTCTAAATAAAGGTTTGAGAAAATACAACTGTTATTATTCTGTTATAATAATAATAGTAATAATAGTAATAATAATAGTAGTAGTAGTAGTAATAATAATAATAATAATGATAATAATAATAATAAAGTTGGAAGGGACCTTGGAGGTAATCTAGTCAAACCCCCTGCTCAGGCAGGAAACTCTATACCATTTTGGACAAATGGCTGTCCAGTCTCTTCTTAAAAACTTCCAGTGTTGGAGCATTCACTGCTTCTGGAGGCAGGTTGTTCCACTGGTTAATTGTTCTGTCAGGAAGTTTCTCCTTAGTTCTAGATTGCTTCTCTCCTTGATTAGTTTTCATCCGTTGCTTCTTGTCCTGCCTTCAGGTGCTTTGGAGAATAGTTTGACTCCCTCTTCTTTGTGGCAGCCCCTGAGATATTGGAACACTGCTATCTTGTCCCCCGTCATCCTTCTCTTCATTAAACTAGACCTACCCAATTCCAGCAACCATTCCTTATATGTTTTAGCCTCCAGTCCCCTAATCATCTTTTTTGCTCTTCTCTGTACTCTTTCTAGAGTCTCAACATCTTTTTTACATTGTGATCAAAACTGGATGCAGTATTCCAAGTGTGGCCTTACCAAGGCATTGTAAAGTGGTATTAACACTTCACATGATCTTGATTCTATCCCTCTGTTGAAAATAACCATGGCCCAAAGTGCTGTGGCAAGGCGGAGAAAACCTCATAACGAAGATTTTAGAAGGGGGAAAATAGAAACAATAATAAGATTTTAATAAGTGTTGGATTCCTTTTCCTGTAAGTTTGAGCCAGGGTGGTTAGTGATCAAAATTTTTGTCTGACATGTCTAGAAGGAACCAAAATGTTTTGGGGAGTAATGGAAACTGTGCTATAAGAGCAAATTGGTTTTGTTGAAATTCCAATGAAATTTGTGGATGGGAAAATTCCAACAGTATATGTAAAAAAAAAAATCACGTACTGTCTTCTGGCTGCCCCTTGCAAAATATTAACATAGTCACATAGAAGCTGATCATATACCAAGAACTCTGCACGAGTAGATTTAGCACACCACTGGAAATATACCGGTATGTCTAACCACACTGAAATGAAACACCTGGGATTTCTTCCTGTTGGGTAGGATAGAAGCCAATTTAAGAAATCCTTGTGACCCCATAATGGATTGTGGTAGTCAACTTATTTGATATGGAGTAATGTTTTGCACTGAAAATCCTTTAAAAGACCTGTGATGTGATTCCTGAGGTGGAAGCCCTAAATATATAAAGTGGGGTCTTCAAACTTGGCAACTTTAAGACTTGTGGACTTCAATTCCCAGAATTCCTCAGCCAGTCCTGGTTGGCTGAGGAATTCTGGGAGTTGAACTCCACAAGTCTTAAAGTTGCCAAGTTTGAAGACCCCTGATGTAAAGTCTCCTTCAAGTTGGACTTGATGCTTTGGGATTTTATGGACATATCCATGCAGTTTTCTTGGTACTATAGTGTTATAGATGTGGCTTGCCTTTGCATTTTTCAGAATGTTTTTTTTCCAATTTCCCTAGGTTTTCTTGAGGGCTCTAATCCAAGGATTAACCATTTCCAACCCAGCTTAGTTTTTTAGGAACTACCTAGTCATGAAATCAATTGCCACTGAAGTTGAAACTATCCTATCCCATCATTAGAGTTGAAAAGAAGACTCAGAGCATATTTATTTAAAAAGGCACAGATGTCCCTGAGTTTTCCTGGTAGTGTTCCAGGAGTGGTTTGCCTCCTGGGAATTTTTATTTTGACTTTCCAGGATAGCCCAGAAAAGATGAAGCAGGGCTGAAGCCATATTTATTTCCTCAGTGTTTTTGATAGTTTTTATTTTATTATTTGATAGTACTGCAGGCCACTTTAGCTGACTGTGTTCAGCAGGTCAGCGGTTCAAATCTCACCGGCTCAAGGTTGACTCAACCTTCCATCCTTCCGGGGTAGGTAAAATGAGGACCCAGATTGTTGGGGGCAATGTAAATATATATATATATATACATTGCTTACTGGTCTACACCGCTTAGAGAGTGCTTGCACTTAAAGTGGTATATAAGTCTCATAAATAAATAAATTTAACAATGTTTTTTTTATTTCTCCTTGTAAATCTGGAATCGTTAGGGAAATAGGTGACATACACGTTTAAAGATTTTGATGAATAAAAAGCACCAGAGATGTAACAGAGAGTGGGAGGACAGGGACAGGAAAAATATCCTCTTACAACTACTTTCTTGGATCAACTGGATCTCAACTCTCTTTCATCCCTGGAAGCCGAAAAGGCCAGCAATCTAGGTAGTCCTCAACTTACAACAGTTTCTTCAGCGACTGTTGAAGTTGCAACGGCACTGAAAAAAGTGACTTATGACCATTTTTCATACTTACAACCATTGCCGCATCCCCATGGTCATGTGATCAAAATCCAGGCGTTTGGCAACTGACTCACATTTATGACAGTTGCAGTGTCCCAGGCTCATGTGATCCCCTTTTGCGACCTTCTGACAAGCCAAGTCAATGGGGAAGCCAGGTTCACTTAGCTTAGCCAGGTTACTAACTTAGCAACTGCAGTGATTCACTTAACAACTGTGGCATGAAAGGTCGTAAAACTCACTTAACAACTGTCTCAGTAACAGACATTTCGGACTCAACTGTGGTCATAAGTCAAGGACTACTTGTATTCATTTTTATGACAAATTATCTCAAACGATCATGATGGGGTAACTAAGAGAGGCAGGAAAGGTGCTTGCTTCCACCAAAATGAGGTGCCTGCTCCTTAAAATCATTTCAGAATGGCTTCAATACCTTCTCAGATTTAGAATAATTTCATGGTATTTATCTTGCTTGGAGTTTCCTATCTTATAATTGATTTTCAACCTGTTCCCTTCTTCTCTCTCCCCCCCCAATCCTTCCCATGGGCTCTATTGTCTTTCAAATGGCATTAACCGAATGGTTATATTTTACTAATGTTGTGATGGTGCTCTGATTAAAAACAATGGAAAGAACAAATCAGATTAATAAACAAGCTTTGAGTAGAAAATCAGGTTAAATCTGTTTTAAATTTATGATACATAATCTTTGCCAGTTTTTGCAAGGAATTTTCACTGGAAGAATTTACAGTTAGACCCTGGAAAGATATTTCATCATGATTTGGAGCCTGGGAACAAGAAGGGTACATTTCATATAGGGAATAAACAAGGAAAGTATTTGTAATGACTTCTTTTATTACATTTGGCTCTTGGGCATAAGCACATTTGGGGTGGAGAGATGTCAAGAATCACCACAGAATCAAATATTTCTGTAACTTTGTCTCACTTCCTATCAGCTTTTATCAATCTGTCGTAATTTGAGGGATGAGGGGAAAGAGTCGAAGCCAAATGAAGAAAATACAGTAACTGAGAGAAGCATAGTCTTCTCATTGCTTTAAAGTCATCCTTAAAATCCTTAGTAGAAGGCGGAAACTTCTCCTGATCCACTCTGACTTATTGCAGTGGATGACTAGGAACTGGTTCAAAGGCTCTTAGTAGCCATTTCAAGATCTATGGATACCATGTCCTGTCTTTCAAATACTTTTATAGTTTCCTACGAAGGACAATTCTTAAGAAGTACATTTATGCCTTGGGGCTATTCCAGCGAACGTTTAAGTTAAATTATTCTCAACTTTGTTTTCATTTCATCACAGAACCTGGGGTTGGCCTGGGCATTGGTGCTTGCTGCCTCACCTTGGAAAACAGCCTTCCTGGTATATATATTCACAGCTTGGCTCCAGGATCTGTGGCTAAAATGGATGGAAGATTAAGGTTAGTCCTGAACTGTTTTCTTAAAGAAGGCTTTCTCCCACTGCATCGTTCATTCAGCTCCACCCAGCTCCACAAGATTCTGGGTAGCTTATGACATGAAAAGCAGAGAACAGTAAAGCACCAGGAACAAATGTCATACAGCATATATATCCAGAAGAAAGCAGATATTTCATTAGATAAAACTCGGTAGGCATCTGGATGTTGTTTTCATTGCAATGAAAATTGCCCATTTATTATAACTCCGTTTGGGCACTTGAACACATCTTGGATTCTGCTATGTCCCCCCCCCCCATCCCACCTGTGCTGCCATGGTACCAATGGCAGATACCAGAGCAACAGCCAGCAGAGCAGAACTTGCTCCCATTAGCTAATAGATTATTCTGAGTGAAAGCCCCCATCCCTCCCGCTTCTGCTGTAATAGGATCAATAGGTAGGGTACCCTCTCTTATGCCTAAGACAGGGGTAGGCAACCTTAGCTCTTTTATGACTTGTGGACTTCAACTCCCAAAATTCCTGAGCCAGCCATTGTGGCTCAGGAATTCTGGGAGTTGAAGTCCACGAGTCATAAAAGAGCCAAGGTTGCATACCCCTGGTCTAGGAGCACAACATGATCGTCTCCAAACCTATTTGATGCCACTTCCTTTTTAAACTCTTATCTGGCAAGGTATAGAGACTAAGGAAGATAATCTTGAGGAGATATACAAGAACCGTTACCCAAACAAAAGGAGCTGAAACATAGTTTAAATTCAGAACTATGAGATAGGGAGGGTGCAGTGAACTAATGGTTAAGATGCTGGGCTTATTGACCGGAAGGTTGGCAGTTCGAGACTCAAGCACCACGTGGCAGAGTGAACACCCATTCTTGCCCAGGTTCCTGCCCACCTAGCAATTTGAAAGCATGAAAACGCAAGTAGATAGGTACCACTTTGGTGGAAAAGTAACAGTGTTCTGTGAGTTTTGGCATATACTCATGCTGCCCACATGACCACAGAAGTGTCTTTGGACCAGTGGTTCTCAACCTTTTTAATGCTGTGACCCCATAATACAGTTCCCCATGTTGTGGTGACCCCCAAGTGGGTGTGGCCACCAATAAGAGGGAGTAGGACAGGTAGGGAAAAGGGAAAAAAATGGTGGACAGCGTGGTTTGGTGACCCCCATGAAATGGTCATTCGACCCCAAATGGGGTCCCGACCCACAGGTTGAGAACCACTGCTTTGGACAGTGCTGGCTCCCTGGGCTAGGAAAAGGAGATAAATACTGCCCCTAGAGTCAGTCACGACTGGACAGGGAAAACCTTTACCTTGATTATGAAGATATGATTTGGAAGTATTTCAGGCAGATGTCTCCCTAATTCACTGAACTATAAGACGAAGGAGGAGATACAGCACAACTGTATTTCCCTGAATTAATTTCCTCATCTGGTCTATCTGTGGGGCTATCAGAGTGATAGGAAGGGGTTGTAGTCAGATTCCTATTATGCTCAAAAAAACCACCTCAAATCCAGTTCACGTTTCTGAACCCTTAGGAAATGCACTTCTTATACAGTAGTTTGTGGCAATCCAAGACACTGTGTGCTTGGCTATGATTGCGGTCTAATAGCAGTTCTGGATATCTCTAGATATTTTGTACTTTTTTCTCTTTGGTTTGTTTTGTGTCATATTAAAGATGGCCAAAACGTCACTGGGAGACTAGTGGCATATACATTTAATTATTATTTCAGGTAGGTCTTGCTTAACAATGCTTATTGGGACTGGAAATTCAGTTGGAAAACAATAGTCAGAAGTAAAAAAAAAAACAGATGACTGTGCCATTTAGCGACAGCACTTCTGGCAATGCTGGTTGCCTTGCCATTAAGCAAGGACTGTGAGGACCTCACGTGACCGTGACTTGCGAATTTCTGTCTGCTTCCCTGTTGCCTTGGCTTGTGGGAATCTGTAGGGCAAGTCGCTAATCTTGGTCATGTGACTATAGGATGCTGCACCAGCTGTAATTGTGAAGACTGTTTGTAACTGCCATAAATTTGAATGGTCACTGAATAAATGGTAATTAAATGAGGATTAGCTTTATTATTAATTTGAGAGAGACATTGGGAGCCACATCCAGTTTGGTAGACCTCTTTTTGATCTTTATGACTACTGTTTCTATACCCCTAAATTAAACACTTGCATTATAGCCCTACAGAATAAGTGGGTTGCCAACTACTGAAGGATTTTAGACTAGATACTTATCACTTCAGGTCAGATTCATTAATTCATGTCAGATACATTTTTTTAATTTTTGGGATTATAGATAATACCAGAATTTTTAAAATCTGGGTTATGGTAGCTGGGGAAACCTTTTTGTGACCATCTAAAGTAGTAGTCCTGGACCTAAATGCTTCCAGATGTTTGCATAATGCAAAAATATACAAAGGTGAAGAAACTGATTTTAATATTTTACAGACTATTCCCTTAAAATATATTGAGGCTGTTGACCTCTCTATTGCTTGTATTAAGAAGGAAATAGATATGACTTCTCGCCATTCTTTTCTGTTTTGTAAATCTCCAAGTTGGATCTCTGAGTTTAGAGAATTTAGCATCAGTAAACTCAATGAAGGAAAAAGGGAGAACCCAAATCATTGATACAGTTTGTTGTTATTGTTAAACTCATTTCCAGGCTTCCATCAGAAAAAATAGTCAGATACCTTAGCATAATGATTATGATATGAATAAAGTGATCCTAAGAGACTACAGCTATCCAGCCACAAATATGCAGATAATCATTTGTACAACTCCAAATCCCTTTTGAAGGGACTACATTTTCAGGGTCTTCCAGACATAGTGATGGAATCCCAAATAAGGATTTGCGTAGTTAAAGTGCCATTACTATTCTCACCAACTTGACTTTGGATGATGGTGGTTGAAAAGAATTTATAATATATTAAATTGTATCTACATCCACTTTTCTTCAACAATATCAAATTATTCTCATTCTCATAGCCCTTTTGTGAGAAGATAGAGAAATAGTGATTCATCCAGGCTTATTATAGTAATAAACCTTATAGCTGACTGAGGTATGAATTCAACTATTTGCGATCCTTGCCCAACATTCAATATTATCTCTAGTTAATAATTTACATTTCAGTCTGTATCTATACTTAATCTGTACTTCCTGTATAAATGGAATACAGATTGGAGTGGAAAGGTTTTGCTATGTTTTTATAGAAGCTAGACCAAAGTATATAAAAATTACAGATTTTATCATGCATATGTGTAAAGTTCTGCATTGAATATTCATATAACTAACTCAAAAACAATTTGGAACAGAGAAAGATGATGATATATGGAAGTGCTATAGCCAGAAAACAGTCTAATTAATTTATGCTGGTCTCCCACTAATCTGCAAGGAAAACGAGTTTGTGGCTATGGGAAATGCCTGCTTAAAATTGCGGAGTTGCAGACTAATCAGGATCAGCTGTTTCATGCTACATGACCTTTACTGATTTAGATTAAGGCAATTTGATTCAATCTTTATTACAGTCACAGAACGGCACATAGACTAAAACAATATTTTCTAAACTTGTTTGTAACATGTTTTCTCCTCATATAAAAATCCTAACGATCCCTTGCATTATTTGCAACATAGAGGTGGTAGGTTTAGTCCAGGGGTAGGCAACCTTGGCTCTTTCATGACTCGTGGACTTCAACTCCCAGAATTCCTGAGCCAGCATGGCTCAGCTTGGAAACCTCTCCCTTTCCCCTCAGCATGGCTGGCTCAGGAATTCTGGGAGTTGAAGTCCAGGAGTCATAAAAGAGCCATGGTTGCCTACCCCTGGTTTAGTCCGTCTGGTTCCCTTGAGCAGAGGATCCCTAAGCCACCTTCCCCAAATCTCTATTGCATTTTCCCACACTTTTGGGGAGATGCTAACTCAGTACAGGTAGTCCTTGACTTATGATCACAATCGAACCCACAATTTCTGTTACCAAGCAAGGCAGTTTTTAAGTGAGTTGTGCCCCATTTTAGGACCTTTCTTACCACGGTTGTTAAGCGAATCGCTGCAGTTAGGTGAATCAGGCAGTCGTTAAGTGAATCTGGCTTGACTTTGCTTGTTAGAAGCCATTTTTCTTCTTCCGTCTTTTTTTTTTTTTTTTACAAAAAAAGCACTGAATATTACCTTCTTCTTTTAGTAACAGAGCCAAGCAGGTGCATTAAAGGTAAAATGTTTTGAAAATGAAAGTGCTGATTCTGTAGTGGAATTCAAGTCTTTTATTATCTACATAAAGGTTGAGAAATCAAATAGAGTTAAAAGAGAACTAAAGGAGAAAAGAAAACAAGGAACAACTAATTTGGGAGAGGGAGCTGGTTACATAGACACAAACAAAGCAAGATCCTAACAACTCAGATCAGCCTATCAAGCAGAGTTAAATCTATTTCACAACTGGAAAAGTAATTTCACAGCTCCACTGATTCCTAGCTAGTTATGCAATTTTTAGAGTTTCAACTCTGATTTTAAAGGATTTTGGGTTGTAGCTTAGCTGGCTTTTAGAAAAGCCCACCTGAAAGGGAATTCTTCTGCTTTTGATTAGATCCTCAGAATTTGGTTTCTTTTTTAACATTGACTGAATCAGCAGTGTTAAAATGATTAGACATTGGGTCGATTTGATTATTAAATAAAGATCTCCTCATCTGGAACTTTGTTTATATATAATTTTGTTAAATAAGGATGGGAAAGCTTTAAACTATTTGTAGACCTGTTATGTAAGGGAAGGAGAATTTATCAGGTATTATTATTATAAATTATTATTATTGATCATTGCACAGTCAGCCAGATGTTCAGACTGGATTTGGCATTTTGTCTACCTATCGAGTCCTTACCCAGGACCTGGGATAGGCAGATGTGGATGTTTGATGGTATTACAGATATTATTATTATTATTATTATTATTATTATTATTATTATTATTATTATTATTATTATTATTATCATCATCATCATCATCATCATCATCTTTTTAGCATCCAGCGGGGCTAGACTTTTTATGAGTGACATTAAATTTATTTGATATTTGGAATATTTTTCTCTTTTTTGTACACATTTGTTTTTGTTTTTGTTGTTGTTAGTGTTGAATGTATATTTTTCTGTTTTGCATTTTATTCTTGTTGATAAAACAATATATATAGTTTCTTTTCTCCTCCCAGATTTTATGTTGACGAGCACTATAAATTGGATTTATAGTCAAGCTATAACTGTTTTCTGTCTGAACTTTTTGTGGTTAGAGGTCTCCCTCTTCCCTACTTCCTATCTGTGAAATGACACCATTAAAGTTGATGTCTGTCTTTTTCTTTAGCCGTGGTGATCAGATCCTGGAAGCAGATTCGGTCAGTTTGCGTCACGCAGCGCTGAGCGAAGCTTATGCCATTTTAAGTGAATGTGGACCAGGCCCGGTTAGCCTTATCGTTAGCCGACATCCTAACCCAAAGGTATGAAACAGAATGGAAGATATTCAGTTTTTCTCTACAGCATTTCCCTCTGAGCCTTGCACAATGGTTTTACAAGTAAAAAAGTATATTAGTACAAAAAGATACCTGAATAGATCAACCCTCTTAATTCTCTGCTAGCATGGCCAAAACCCACAGAGTTGTGATTGTGATAACTGACATCCAAGACATCTAGAAAACCTGGGTTAATATATTTTAATTTTTCCTCACAATCTAGAAATAAATCTATTAGATATTTTCAGACCCCAAGCTACCTGATCACTGTAAAATCTCAGGGAGTAACTACTATACCTTGTTTTATACTTTGTAACATTTTTGCTCTTCTTTGTTATATAAATAGCTTACAACACTCATTTATGATTTATTCTGGTCCCCTAAGGCAGAAGAAGGCAATTTATATGCTCTCCATATAACTAAGGCTAAGACTTCCACAGTCCATTGCTATCCCCTGCATTAATATGTATCAAAGGGCCTTTTATATAAAATCCTACTTACTGTATAAGATTTCTCTGGGTGAAAAGTTACAGTTTCTACAGCCAGGTTCACACAAAACTCTAAACCATAATCTATGAACCTGCCTATCATGGTTATTTACTGATTTGCTAGTCTGTCATTTTCCAAAAATTGCAGAAAACATATGTGGTTTGTTCAGCTTCAGCAAAATTTGTATTTAAAAAATTCTGATTTAATATCATGTGTGAATTCAGTTGTAAAGCATATAATTTGCTCATTAATTCAGTACAAAGGGGGTGGAGGTATTTATATGGCTCATTCTGTTCAAGGATTTGTATCCGTTGATGTTGTAGAGTAAAACATAAAGATATTTTTTCTTAGAAGATCATAAGAAAAATAGGTATTTTCCTGCGCTTTTTAATATAAGCGCATAATTAAAAAACACAGATGTGAATGGATGCCTAGGCTCTTCTTCATTCCTTTAAAGAAATTTTCAAAGGAAATTCATATCAGGTTGATTTCCAAAAGATATTCTGTTAATAAGCAAAGATTTGAATGTTTTTGTCCAATATTTTTTAGAGATTACTTTTTACTACTTTGCATTTTGTTATTGTTCTAGTTTCTATATATAAAATTCTATCTCTTCATTGTTCCTTTATTAAATTTAGGGTGCTGTTCTTACCCTCACTTTCTATTTCATTTTATAGACAATTTTATGGGCACAAACTACCCTTCTTTATATATATATATATATATATATATATATATATATATATATATATATATACGGTTAAAAAGGTTAAAAATATGAACCCTGGGAGTATACATGGTGAAGAAATAAAATGAACACCAGGGTAATAAAAACTGTAAAAGTTTTTAATTAATTAAAACTATAAAAGTTTAATTAAAAGCGCCAAGCTTTCGCCGTCACCTGCCGGCATCTTCAGGGCTAGCGCGCCAGAGAATGAGGAAGTCCTTTATAGGCGTGTCAAGGTTTGCGCCCGGCTCCTTGACCTTGTTATCGGGCCTGATTGATTCAATTGCGTACGGTTAACCTGTTTTTCCTTTCTCTTTTTGGTTGCATTTCTATCTTCATCCATCCTTATTTCTCTCAACCTTGGGGTGGTTGGGTGGCAACTCCAGTTGTTTCGGTTGTCTTTGCATTCTGACCTCCCCCCAGGTTCAGGTGGTAGTGCACATTCCACGTTCCTTTCACAGCCATGTCCTACCCAATTGTTCCTTTTAAAGTAACTTTCCTTTTTAGTCCCAATACTTTCATTTTTGGTGCGCCCGTCATCCGGATGGTCTTGCGAGCTGTTACGAGTCAAATACGGCGTGGGGGGGTGTTCAGCAAGGTGGAGGGGTCGTTCCCTGGTCATCGCTATACCCAGCTGTCTTGCGCGTGTCCTGCTTCGGGTACTCGGTCCGGGGGGTGTGTGTGTGGTAGTCGAATCACGCTCCTTCTGGCTGTCATAACGTTTCTCTTCGGCTCTCCCCCTTTCTGCACTGTTGGTATTCGTGTGCATTCCATGGGAGTTCTCAGGATCATCGGGTAGGGGGCGTGACGGCTCAATCCCTCGCACTCCACCGCTCTCTGATCTTCTCCCCTCCTCTCCGGCGGTGCTCGGGGATTCGTCGTTGGCCATATCCCGTGATCTATCCCCCCTAAGTCCGATCGCTCTGGCTGCGCGAGGGGGTCTTCTCCTCCCTTCCGGACCGGCCACGATGTTTCTTTTGGCGCGCAGGCGAGCTGTTGCGTTTGGCGATTCCCCCGCGCCTCCACCTGCCGTATCCTCCTTCATCTCGTTCTCACTATCAGAACTCCAGATCTCAGTTTCCACCACCCCCCTAGTCCTCTGGGATTGCGGTAGCCTCACTGGGATGGTTGGGGTGTCCCGCAGTTGCCCTTCCTCCTCCGGATTGCACCAGGTCTGTTGGGCAATTTGCCCTTCCTCTTTGGTATCACCGGGATTATTATTAAGCCATCGGGGGTGTTGCCGCTGATTATTAATGCTCCATGATCTTAAAGCCACGTATGCCGGGCATAGGTCAACATGCCTGTTAATAGATCTATTATCCAAGAGCCATGCCTCCCTAAGTAGGCGGCCCCCTTTGGTGTTATCATTCGCCAATACGCTGACGCCACTGAAATTAAACCTATGGCCCAGATCTACCGTGTGTGCCCATATCTGGGAGTAACAATCTCCCCTTCTCACTGCCAATCTGTGTTCGTGGACCCTGGTCTTAATCCGTTTAGCAGTCTCCCCAATGTAATTGCACTGGCAGTCCATGCAATCAATCCTATAAACGGCTGCCGATCTTTCAGTGTTGGGAAGCAGGTCCTTGGGGCGCATTATAGCCGCCCGCAGTGTTTGGTTTGGTCTATGGGCTACCTGTATGTTATACGGTGCCAGGATCCTCGCTGTGGCTTCTGATAAATTATGAATATAGGGGAGGGTGATACGTGTAGTTGCCTGAGGTGTGGATTCTTGGGATGTAAGGTTATCCCGGGGTCCAGGTAGTTTACTGAACTGATTAATAAACTTTACCGGGTAACCATTACGTCTACACATTTGGAAGAGGTGGTTTCTCTCTTCCTTCTTGGCTCTGACGGTGCTGCAGTGTGTCTCCACCCATTTGAATAATGTCCTGACACAGCTGACTTTATGGGCCATCGGACGATTGCTCCCAAAGTGGAGAATCCTGTCCGTACATGTTGGTTTTCGGTACACCCTGGTAGCCAGACATCCATCCACCTGGCGCTGCACTAATACATCCAGGAATGCCAAACTGCCCTGAAAGGTGAAATAGGTGTTAAGGCATACCTTTCACCTTTCAGGGTACTATATATGAACAAATTAAAGGAACACCTATGGGGTCGCCGATCTCCAGTGTGGTTGCAGAGATAGTACTCCAACAGTTGGAACACATAGCGATGGCCCGGTATCAACCAAAATTCTGGGCCCGCTATGTGGACGATACGTTTGCGGTCATCAAGAAGCGACACAAGACTGACTTTATGGGCATTTTGAATTCGGTATACCCAGACATCCAATTTACTATGGAAGAGGAAGATCAGGGCAGTTTGGCATTCCTGGATGTATTAGTGCAGCGCCAGGTGGATAGATGTCTGGCTACCAGGGTGTACCGAAAACCAACATGTACGGACAGGATTCTCCACTTTGGGAGCAATCATCCGATGGCCCATAAAGTCAGCTGTGTCAGGACATTATTCAAACGGGTGGAGACACACTGCAGCACCGTCAGAGCCAAGAAGGAAGAGAGAAACCACCTCTTCCAAATGTGTAGACGTAATGGTTACCCGGTAAAGTTTATTAATCAGTTCAGTAAACTACCTGGACCCCGGGATAACCTTACATCCCAAGAATCCACACCTCAGGCAACTACACGCATCACCCTCCCCTATATTCATAATGTATCAGAAGCCACAGCGAGGATCCTGGCACCGTATAACATACAGGTAGCCCATAGACCAAACCAAACACTGCGGGCGGCTATAATGCGCCCCAAGGACCCGCTCCCCAACAGTGAAAGATCGGCAGCCATTTATAGGATTGATTGCATGGACTGCCAGTGCAATTACGTTGGGGAGACTGCTAAACGGATTAAGACCAGGGTCCACGAACACAGATTGGCAGTGAGAAGGGGAGATTGTTACTCCCAGATATGGGCACACACGGTAGATCTGGGCCATAGGTTTAATTTCAGTGGCGTCAGCGTATTGGCGAATGATAACACCAAAGGGGGCCGCCTACTTAGGGAGGCATGGCTCTTGGATAATAGATCTATTAACAGGCATGTTGACCTATGCCCGGCATACGTGGCTTTAAGATCATGGAGCATTAATAATCAGCGGCAACACCCCCGATGGCTTAATAATAATCCCGGTGATACCAAAGAGGAAGGGCAAACTGCCCAACAGACCTGGTGCAATCCGGAGGAGGAAGGGCAACTACGGGACACCCCGACCACCCCAGTGAGGCTACCGCACTCCCAGAGGACTAGGGGGGTGGTGGAAACTGAGATCTGGAGTTCTGATAGTGAGAACGAGACGAAGGAGGATACGGCAGGTGGAGGCGCGGGGGAATCGCCAAACGCAACAGCTCGCCTGCGAGCTAAAAGAAACATCGTGGCCGGTCCGGAAGGGAGGAGAAGACCCCCTCGCGCAGCCAGAGCGATCGGATCCAGGGGGGATAGATCACGGGACATGGCCAACGACGAACCCCCGAGCACCGCCAGGGAGGAGGGGAGAAGATCAGAGAGCAGTGGAGTGCGAGGGATTGAGTCGTCACGCCCCCTACCTGACGATCCCGAGGACTCCCATGGAACGCACACGAACACCAACAGTGCAGAAAGGGGCAGAGCTGAAGAGGAACGTTATGACAGCCAGAAGGAGCGTGATTCGACTACCACACACACACCCCCCGGACCGAGTACCCGAAGCAGGACGCGCGCAGGACAGCTGGGTATGGCGATGACCAGGAAATGACCCCTCCACCCTGCTGAACACCCCCCCACGCCGTATTTGACTCGTAACAGCTCGCAAGACCATCCGGATGACGGGCGCACCAAAAATGAAAGTATTGGGACTAAAAAGGAAAGTTACTTTAAAAGGAA